TTAGTGCTGGATCCTACACAGGCATTAGTGTTTTGGTGCTCCTCAGAGGAGGACCTCAGCCATGTCATGATGTGCTGTCAATATAAGATCTTGACCAAGAGTTAAATTGTTTGCTTTCTTTAAACTAGCAGTACCTGCGATTGCTGTTAGTCAGGCAGGCTAACCTATGGCTACAGAGTTCAGTTTTTTGGATAGATATATTATAGGGCATTTCCGTGGCCCCAAAGCTTGAGTTAAAACCCCTTTTACCTTTTGTTTCATAGACAAACAGATGAAAAGGTTTTGAGACATCTGGAAATTCTATGGTTGGTGCAGAAGTCAGAACTGTTATTAAAGCTTCAAATGCCTTTTGTTTAGAAAGTTCAGATTAAGGACCCAGTGCCCACCATTGTGCTGGTGTGTAGACACTTCATCATCCTCACAATCTCTAATATCCAGAGGCAACAATAGCCAGTTGTACCTAGGGACTCTTGAGCCTGTTTCTTAGTGTTGGTGTTGGGTTCTGAAGGATGGCAGCAATCCTGCTCTCAGGCAGTCATTTCAGTATTCCTCTGTTTACCGTTTGTCCATTGTTTAGAGTGGGGTACTGACATCTGTTATCAGTGTGTGAGGCTCAGCAGTTCATTTATGCTGCAGTAGTGTTTCTTTTACAAGAGAGGCTGCCCTTTGTTTGGTGAGCAGCTGTTAGAAATTGAAATGTCATCATGGTATATTTTTCCTTTGATGAATATGCAGTGTCTGTCCCATCTCCTTTCGATTAATTTTGGTTTGAAGAGTCTCACATGCATTTTATATGCTTATGGGTATATTGGGTGAACAATGAGGCCACATTTCCCCCTCTGAAGACTACGGATCAAACCCAAACACTTCACACATGATATGCAAATATTCTGCCACTGAGTGATACTTTATTAGAGAATTTCCTTGAGCTAGTCATTGTGACTCACACTTGCAATCCCCGCACTTGAAAGCTAAAGCAGAAGGATCACCACTAGCTTGAGGCCAGACCGAGCATAGACCAAGACCATGCTCCAAAACCACAAAACAATAATGTCATTATAGGATCAAGATCTCACCAGGGAGCATGGTGTGCAATTCAACAGTGTGTTGTTGAGAAATAAAATGCAATTTTCCTAGGCCAATAGGAGACCAAGTGCTGATGTCTGTTACATGGTCAGACTTGCCACTGGCTAGAGTTAAAAGATTTTAAAATGAGCATGTCACTTCCACTTTATTTTTGCCCCTCAAGAAGTTGCCATTCACCTGTGTATAAAGTCTGGTTTAATTAGTACATTGAATTGACAGCATGAGGGCACGCACCTCTCATGCTACTATTTTGGAGGCTGATACAGGAAGTTCAAGCCTTCTTCCAAGATAAATATGTCTTCTGCTGTTAATAACATTAAGAAACAGTAGCTACATTGTACTTGAAGTGTTCCTGTGGCTGGGAAGATGGTGCAGTGTAAAGTGTGCACATGAAATTTGCAGAAGATAGAGTTTATTTCCCACCCCCAGCTTGCCATTTTTATCAACTGTGCATGAAGTCCATACCTATTTTAGATTTGTGGCTTTTCATAATCCTCTAGTAACTTGTGTCCCATATGTTTTTCTCTTCTCCTGGGACATTCCTTTGTGATTCTTTTTGGTGTGTGTGTGTGTGTTTCTGTCTGTGTGTCTGTGTGTGTCTGTGTGTGTTCCAGTAAACCTTTATTTATCTTTTTTCATTTCATTTTGCATTTCAACCACTGTTCTCTCTCTCTCTCTCATCCCTCCTCCTGCCTCCTATGCCTTTCCCTAGCCCACTCCCATCTACTCCTCCCAAAGGTAAGGCCTCCCATGGGGTGTCAACAAAGCCTGGCACATAAACTCGAGGTAGGACCAAGCCTGTGCACCTGCATCAAAACTGAACACAGCATCCCACCATAAGGAATGAACTTCAAAAATCTAGGTTATGCACCAGGGATAGAACCTGGTCCCACTGTTAGGGGCCCCACAGATAGACCAAGTTATACAACTGTCTCCCATATGCAGACAGCCTATTTCGGTCCCATGCGGGCTCTACAGCTGTCAGTCTAGAGTTTGTGAGTTCCCATGAGCTTGGTTCAGCTGTCTCTGTAGATTTTCCTGTCGTCAGCTTGACCTCCCTTACTCATACAATCCCTCCTCTGTCTCCTCAACTGTATTCCTGGAGTTTGGCCTGGTGCTTGGCTGTAGATCTCTTGCATCTAGTTCTATCAGTTACTGGATGAAGGCTCTATGACAGTTGGAGTATTTACCAATCCGATTACAGGAGAAGGCCAGTTCAGGTACTCTCTCTACTATTGCTAGGAGTCTTAGTTGGGGCCATTCTTGTGGATTCCTGATATTTTCCCTAGCACCAGGTTTCTCCCTAACCCCATAATGAATGGCCCCCTCTATCAAGATATCTCTGTCATTGCTTTCTCACTCCATCCCTCCCCCAACTCGACAATTTCATTCCCTCATGTTTTCATTCCCCATGCCTTCTCCTCTACTACCCCTCTCTCCCCCAGTTTATCCAGGAGATCTTATCTAATTTCCCTTCCCAGGGTGATCCATATGTCCCTGTTAGGGTCCTACTTATGACCTAGCTTCTCTGGAGCTGTGAATTGTAGTCTGATTATCCTTTGCTTTACATCTGATATCCACTTATGAGTGAATACATACCATGTTTGTCTTTCTGAGTCTGGATTACCTCACTCAGGATTTTTTTTTTTTTTTTTTTTACTAATTTCATCAATCTGCCTTCAAATTTCATGATGTCATTGTTTTTTTTTTCAGCTGAGTAATACTCCATTGTGTAAATATACCACATTTTCTTTAACCACTGAGAGTCAGGTACTATTCTGATGGTTTTACCTTTATATGTTATGTGGCTTTTTTCCTTTGTAGCTCTTTATATTCTTTCTTTATTCTGTATACTTAGTGTTTTTATTATTTTGTGGTGAGGGAACTTTTTATTTGGTCTAGTCAATTTGATATTTTTTAAATTTCTTATACCTTAATAGCCATTTTCTTCTTTGGGTTGGGAAAGTTTTCTTATATGATTTTGTTGAATATTCCATGCCTTTGAGCTGGTATTCTTTTTCTTCTATCCCCATTATTCTTTGGTTTGGTCTTTTCATGGTGTCCCAGATTTCCTGGGTGTTTTGTGTTATGACTTTGTTGGCCTTAATGTTTTCTTTGACCAATGAATCTATTTCCTTTATTGTATCTTCAATGCCTCAGAGTCTCTCTTCCAACTTTTACATTCTGTTGGTTATGCCTACATCTGTAGTTCCTGTCCGTTTCCCAGATTTTCCAGTTCCGGAATCCTCTTGACTTGTGTTTTCTTTATTGTATCTATTTCAATGTTCAAGTCTTGAACTGTTTACTTCACCTGTTTGATTGCTTTTTCTTGTTTTTTTTTTTCTTTAAGAAATTTATTGATTTCTTTCAATTTTTGTTTGTCTTTTCCTTCATTTCTTTAAGGGAATCTTTCATTTCCTCTTTTAAGGTCTCTATCATCATCATAAAGTTTTTTAAGGTTTTTTTTTTCTGCTTCTTCTGCATTGGGATGTTCAGGTCTTACTGTTTTAGAACCACTAGGTTCTGGTGGTGCCATTAGGTTTCTGGATGTATTCTTCCAGTGGTGTCTACTAATCTCTTCCTCCAGTTGTTGCAGACAGTGTCTTTGCTTCTTTGTCTCATCAGTGTAGGCAGTGTACTCTCTTGGTCCAATCAGTGTAGGAGGTGTCTGTGTCCCAGGGTACCCCTGAGGTCACAGGAGATGTGAGGGTTTGGGGACAGAGTGGGACTTGCAGTTTACAGGATCCAATGTGGGAGCTGGTGGAGCAGCCAACCCACAGAAGTGTTTTTTTTTTTTTTTTTTTTTGGCAAGGTAGTGTGGCCACGATTGGTGGGGGAGGGGCACAGGGTATGCTCAGGGTGTAGGATCTAGAGACTGAACTGTCCAGCTTGGAGGTCAGTCACTCACCTCTTGGTCCAATTGGTGCAGGTGGTGTCTGCTTCCCAGGGAACAGTGGAGGTGGCGGGGGTTGGGTGGATTTGGGGGCAGATAGGGAGTGGTTGTAGAGCAGCCTGCTCACAGGAGACTTTCCTGCTGGCTGGCAAGTGTTTGCAATTGGAACTTTGTCTGCCTGATATTTACTGAAGTCAGAAGAGAGCATTGGATTCTCTTGACCTGATGATAGGAATAGTTGGTGCTGAGAACTGATCTAGGGCCTCTTCAAAAGCAACAGGTGATCTTATGTGTTGACACAACTTTATATAGTCCATCATTTTTATTTTTTATTTCTTTTAGGCTCAGTATTGACTAATTTTTTGAGAACTCTTTGATCTGTCACTCAGTAACTTACTAAAAATACATTTATTCCTAGAAATTATTAGCCTTACAGTTTACTAGAAGTCAATTCAGTTTGTGATTGAGAAGTACCGAATTGGAGTGAATGTTTTAACTCTATGCAGGACTTTTGAGTGAACCTCTGAGTGTTTTCTATTTGCTTGTCTATTTGAGGCAAGGTCTCACTGTGTATCTCTGACTATCCTGGAAATCTGTGCACAGACCAGGCTGGCTTGGAAATCAAAGAGTATCACTTATCTTTGCCTCCTGAGCTTCAAGATTAGAGGTTGGCACCCCACCAACCTTTAATCTATCTTTTTTTGAAGTTAATTATTTTGATTAAATTTTGCTGATGTATACTAAATAGCGCTAATCTATTTGCATGTCTCTCTGTATATCTTACTAGGCATTTTTTTTCCGGCAATGCCCTAATCTATTTTGTGTCCACAGAAGTAGAAGGCATGAGTCTCCTTTTCTGTTTCCTTTTAAAATGTGTTGGGGACTGAGTTCACTATTTTAAGACCCTATCATAGTATACATTGAACATGATAAATTATGTAAATATATTCTCAATGAAATGTACTTTTGTAATGCAGTCGGTCTCAACATTTCTATTATGTACATATATGGGATACTTTAGGAGGCCGTGACCTATGAAGATGTGCATGTAAACTTCACTCATGAAGAGTGGGCTTTGCTGGATCCTTTCCAGAAGAATCTGTACAAAGATGTGATGCTGGAAACCTACTGGAACCTCATTTCTATAGGTAGGAATGAGCTTTCTGTTACTTTTTAACTTAAGGGGAAAAGCCTTTCTTGGGGATGTGAAAGAAGAAGAATCTAATGAATAAATCAGGCATTGTTCAAAGACTCACAAAAAATAGCAATTTCAATTGTGCCTAATTTCCAGTAATGTATCACATACATTTTCTGATACTCTGTTTTAGGTTGCAAATGGGAAGACCACAATATCAAAGAACATTGTCAAAGTTCTAGAAGAGATGGAAGGTAATTTTCATGTGCAAGCTGATACATATGTACCTTTGAAGAAATGTTAATGTACCCTGAACTTTAAAAAAAAAAAAAAAAGCAACAGTATAAATTAGCACAGCTGTGTGATGGCTATTAAATTCTCACAATACCATGTATCCCAATGTCAGGAAGCTGATCACTGTGTAGAAAGTATTCTTTTATGGATAAGACAAGGAAACAATGCTATGACAGATATCACAATTTTTATCAGCCATACGAGAGGCATGTTGTAGAATTGTTATGCTGTTCAATCATCATTTAAGGTATACACATTGATAAGGTGTGTATGTCCAATAGAGTATGTCCAAGGACTTTTATAAGCAAATCTTCCATATTAAAGCTAGTGGTCCTCATACACTTATATTGAGTGACTTACCATAGTTTAGTGAGAGGAGCACTTTAGGAGAGACAAGGAATTTTTCTTGGTGTAGAATCCTGAATCCATATACCATGTCTGAGGCACAGAATGTTAGACTATATGAATGTAAAGCGAAAAACCTTTTATTTGCTATTGTTCCTTTAATAGGCATATCAACTGTCACTCTGGATACAAGCCATATGAGCATCAGGGATATGGAAAGAAGCAATATACCTCTTTTTCTCCTGGAACAGTTAGAAGATATGTTGTAGTCCCTGCTGCAAGAAGACATGATGGCTGTGATACAAGTTTACACTCTCACATTGGAGAAAACCCTTATGAGAACAAGGAATATGGAAATCCATCTGTCTGTCCTGGTTCACTTTGCTCATGCAGTATGACTCACAGTGTATGTTATACATGCAATCAGTGTTGTAAAACTCTGAGTTATTCCAGTTCTTTTCAAAGACATGAAAAAACTCATATGGGAATAGGAATTGATAAGCTTGATCTTTGTACTAAGGACTTTAGCCATTCCATGTATCTTCAAACACACAAAACAACCAATAATGAAGAAGAGCTCTATCAATGTAATCAGCATGATACAGCCTTTAGATATGATTCCTCTTTGAAAGTACACCAAAGAACTCATTTGGAAGAAAAACCCTATGAATATAATCAAAGTGATAACGTCTCTGCATGTCACAGTCTTCATCAAGTACATAGAACTCATTTTGATGTGAAAAAGTATGAATATCACCAATATGATAAAGCCTTTGCAAGTCCTAGTTATCTTCAAATATATAAAAGAATTTATACTGGAAAGAAACCCTATGTATGTACACAATGTGATAAAGCCTTTTCATGTTCCAGTTATCTTCAAATTCATAAAAGAATTCATACTGGAGAGAAACTCTATGAATGTAATCAATGTGGTAAAACCTTTATACAAAAGAGTCATCTTCACAGACATGAAAGAAGTCATAGTGGAGAGAAACCCTATGAGTGTAATCACTGTGGTAAAGCCTTTGCACACAAGTACAAGCTTCTCATTCATGAAAGAATTCATACTGGAGAGAAACCCTATGAATGTAGTCTATGTGGTAAAGCCTTTGCAGAGAAGTGCAATCTTCTTAGTCACGAAAGAAGTCATACTGGAGAGAAACCCTATGGTTGTAATCAATGTGGTAAAGCCTTTGCACAGAAGAGTGATCTTCGCAGTCATGAAAGAATTCATACTGGAGAGAAACCCTATGAATGTAATCAATGTAATAAAGCCTTTGCACAGAAGAGTAATCTTCGAAGTCATGAAAGAGTTCATACTGGAGAGAAACCCTTTGAATGTAAGCAATGTGGTAAAGCCTTTGCACAGAAGAGCAATCTTCTTAGTCATGAAAGAAGACATACTGAAGAGAAACCCTATCTATGTAATCAACCTGCTCAATCCTTTGCACTGGAGAATAATTTTCTCATTCATACTAGTAATGCAGAAGAGAGACCTTATGAATGTAAGCAATGTGGCAAAACATTTGCAAGGAAGAGTCATCTTCTCAGTCATGAAAGAATTCATACTGGAGTGAAACCCTATGAATGTAATCAATGTGGTAAAACTTTTGCATGCAACAGTAACCTTCGCAGGCATGAAAGATGTCATACAGGAGAGAAACCTTATGAATGTAATCAATGTGATAAAGCATTTGCACGTAAGAGTCATCTTCAGAGTCATGAAAGATGTCATACTGTACCCTACACATATAATCAATTTGGTAGAGACTTTGCATGTAGCAGTCCCATTCATATAAAAGAAAGAACTTATACTGGAGACAAACCCTATGAATGTAATCAATACAGTAAAGACTTTGCACAAAACAGTCCTCTTCACAATCTTGACAGAAATCATATGCAACAAAAACCCAGTGAATGTAATCAGTGTGGCAAAGTCTTTCCTTGTTGCATTGTTCTTCAAAATCATGAAACATTTCACACTGGTGAAAACCCCCATGACCCTAATAAATGAGGCCAAGCCTTACATTCCACATACATTTTTTTCACCATGCTAGCTTACCAGTGCTTGAGAAAGGTTAGTAGAGCCACTCCTTAGTTAAAAGATTGTCTCTTTTCAAGTAAACATATTGCATTCCAAGAATACAGAAACACATGATATTTTGAATAATAAAACGAATTGAAACTGCTAGTTACACTGTCATCCATTATTCGGGGGTCATGCTACTTTATTCTGAGTATGAAATACTTACTCTTGTCCTATTCTCAGCAACACAAAAGAATGGCAGAGAATTTTATCAGTTAATGTGATTGCTGCCAACCCTGATTACCTGATACTGAGTTTCAGGGTGGCTTTAGTGATATAGTGAGATATTTTCTCAAGAAAAATCCAAAAAGGGAATCTGGAAAGATGGCTGAATTTCCACAGGACCCAAGTTTAATTCTTAGCACTCACATAGAAGTTCACAGCTATCTGTAAGTCCAGTTCTAGGGGATCCAACAGCTTCATATAGAAATGCATTCAGTCAAAACACTTTTTCATGTAAAAGACAAAAGTATATGTCACTTTGTGATTTTTTTCCCCCATAGTATAATGTGGATTCATTTCTGCTCAGCTAAGTCATTTGTGGGGGTCATTCACTTCAAGAGAATTATGTTAACAGCTAAAATAAGCAATGTGCAGAGTCCATTTACAAAGGGATTGAAATCCACTCATTCTTTCCCTGTACAAGTAGCAGGGACTTTCGCCACCTGCAAATGGTAAGGCAGAAGAAATAAAGAGGCAGGGATACCTTCATTTTCTGCATTATAATGACATCTTTGTAGCACTGCTGATGTTGGTCGTATAATTTTGGTTCCTAGCACCCATATCAGGTGAACCAGATGTGCCTGTAAATCCTGGTTTGGAGGTCTTGCATGCCTTTCTTGTGCACCCGGTATGTTAATGGAATAAAGGCAGATATGTACATATATATATACACATATATCTGTATGTATGTATATGTATGTGATAGAGAAGAGAGAGACTATATTTCAAAAAATTTTTCTTTATGTAGATGTCATTTTTCTTTCTTAAAATCACTTTTCTTCATGTGTATTGTCGGAACACATGCCTTTCTTGTGCACCCGGTATGTTAATGGAATAAAGGCAGATATGTACATATATATATACACATATATCTATATGTATGTATATGTATGTGATAGAGAAGAGAGAGACTATATTTCAAAAAATTTTTCTTTATGTAGATGTCATTTTTCTTTCTTAAAATCACTTTTCTTCATGTGTATTGTCGGAACACTGTCCTGGATTGAAGTCATGTAAAAACGAGAATTTTGAGTGCTTGTGCTTGCACATCAAGAAAACAGAAGAAGGTAATTGTTACTTAAGATTTTTCAAAGCAGAATTGTTCTTGGAAAGTGTTTTTATGTTCCTCACAATATAGCACTTAGGAGTGAGTTTACTTCATACTACCCATTATTGTTTGTTGTTTTTGTTCAATTAAACTATGCTTTATATGTCTTCATGGAAAAATACGTTTTTGTCCCATGTGGATTGTTTTTTCATTGTATACAGTTTCAGCACACTAAAACTTTACTCACATAATCTTTCTTAACCCTCCCAGTATAAATTATTTGGGGTCTGAATAAAATAGGCTCTTCCACGAGTCTTTAGCGTGCCTCATTTGTCAGCACAGTTCTCCCAGGATCTTCTGTCTCTACAGTGGTGACAAGTGGCTTTTGAACAGGGACCAGAAATTGGCTAAATGAGGAGAGAGTAAGGACTCTCAGAGAAAGAGGTGAGTAAAGAGTAATGGTGCAGAAACCAGAAAGGCTTTGCCTTATCTTGGACAAGCACATCACTTTAAATGTAAGGATGAGCACAAGTATTAAAAGCACAACTATTATACATCATGCGAATTGGTTTTAACTCCTGATTTCCCGAAGATGTCGATTCAGGTGAAGAAGTATGGGACAGTTCAGAAGGAAAATGAAAAAAAACAAAACAAAAAACAAACATATAAAGAAGTGAAAAAGATCCCTGTTCAATTTTGGGTCACTTGGTCATTAACTTGGATTGTTGCCACAATAATTAAGGAAGATATTAATCTTGAGGAAGTGATGCCAAATTCTTGAAATGAATATAAACTTCATGACTAAACTTTAAAATTGATAAAAGAGGCAAAGATGAATTTTTATTTGTTCAGGCAAAGTCGCACTGACATGGGCACAGGTGGCAGCTCCCTCAGCTCTCTTACTGGAGCCTCCTTAGATGCAGATCCTTTGTTTTCTGAAAAAGATCCTGAAGTGTTGGTTGAGTAATTTACTCCTCAATCTAATCTTGAGTTTTCTTCATTTTGATGAGGATGTAGGAGAGTCTGTTGGAAAGTTAACCTTATTTACCAATTCCTTCCTGACCTCATGAACTATGATAGTTATTTCTAGTGTAATTTCAGCAAGATGAAAATGTTTAACCTCTAATTATGCACTAAACACTATTTAAAATCATAGAAGGATAGATGGCACTGGACTGTCTTTCTTCAGAGTTTTACATGAATGATATATTACCTTTCCATGCCTACGTGTCATAACTTTGAAGGGATCTCAGTCACCTGTGTCTTCCACAAAATATCACATTGGTGAACTATTTTGATGGTATTATTTTGATTGGACCATTTGAGTAGGTGGTAACCACTTTGAACTCATTGGTAACAATATGGCTATCTAGGATGGTTCATAAATCCAACCAAAATTCAAGAGCCTTCCACCTAATTAAAATAAGTTAGGGGAATCTCTGTGGGAGCAAGACCAAACCAGGGAAATCTGTGGGAACAGACCCAAGCCAGGGACCTCCTCTACCAGAGCAGGCCAGAGGCAGTGACCTCCACAGGAACAGGAGCAGGTATGAGGGAGTGATAGCCAAGGGAGCAGGCCTGAGCCAGAGACCTTTGTGGTACCAGTCCCAAGCCAGGTACCTCTGTAGGAGTAGGCCTGAGCCAGGGACATCCCCCTGGAACAGGCTCAAACCAGGGACCTCCACCAGAGAAGGCCTGAGCCAGCAACATCTGCCAGAGCAGGCCCTTGGCAGCAACCACCACAAGAACAAGTACAAGGGATTGACTACCAAGAGAGCAGGCCCAAGTCAGAGACCTCTGTGGAACCAGGCATGAACCAGGAACCTCTGTGAAAACAGGCCAGAGCCAATGAACTCCACCGGAGCAGGACCAAGACAGTGACTTATGCCTGAGTAGGTGCAAGGCAGCAACCTCAGCAGTAGCAGCCCCAAGCAAGTGACCTCCATGGGAGCTGCCAAAATGACCTTGGGGACTGCAGAGTGATCCCTGGGAGCATCAAGCAGCTTCCAGGAACAGTGAATGACCTCCAGGATAACTAGAACAGTGACCCTGATTGCACCATGAAGAGAAACCATCTGAACCATGGGACCACTGGCACCTGAAAGACTGATCGATCACAAGAGACACAGCCCCAACTAAACCAATCAGAGGAAAAGATGGGTAGACTGGGTAAGAACACACCCAGCACCACAAAGAGCAACATACAACAAAAACTAGTGGCTCTATCATTGCAAGACTTTGAACACCCCAATGTAAATGAAGCAGAAGAAAATGGCCTAAAAAATAGGGAAGTTTTGAGGCACTTAAAGAAGAAATGAAAGATTCTTTCAAAGAAACTGAGAAAAAGACAAATTAAAAATTGAAAGAAATCAACCAAGTAAAAGCAATCAGACAAATGAAAGAAATGATTCAAGACTTGAAACTGAAACAGACAATAAAGAAAACACAAACCGAGGGAACTATACAAATGGAAATATGAGAAAATGATCAGAAATCACAAATGCAAGCATCAACAGTAGAATACCAGAGATGGAAGAATCTCAAGTGTTGAAGATAGAATAGAGAAAATAGACTCATTGGTCAAAGAAAACAATAAATCTAACAAAATAAATCTTAACATAAAATATCCAGGAAATGTGTGACACCATGAAAAACCAAAGCTAAGAATAATAGGGATAGATGAAGTCCAAATCAAAACCACAGAAAATATATTCAACAAAAGCAAAGAAGAAAACTTTCCCAACCTAAAGAAAGATATGCATATGAAGATACAAGAAGCTTACAAAACAACAAATAGACTGGATTAAAAAAAGTCTCCACATAATAACCCAAACAGTAAACATATACACTAAAGAAAGAATATGAAGAGCTGCAAAGGAAAATGGCCAAGTAACATATAAAGGCAAACCCATCAGAATAGCACCTGACTTCTCAGTGGAAACAATGAAAGCCAGAAGGTCCTGCTCACATTATGCAGACATTAAGAGGCCATGGATGCCAGCCCAGACTACTATACCCAAGAAAATTTTGAATCACCATAGGGGCGGGCAAAACAAGATGTTGCATGACAGAACCAGATTTAACCAATATCTAGCCACAAACCCAGCCTTACACAAAGTACTGGAAGAAAATTCCACAAAAACACAGACAATAGATGGTCTCACAGCAGCATATCCCAAAGAAGTGTAAAAACACACAATAACATCACCACTAATAAAAAATAACAGGAATAATATAACAGGTATAACTAGAACTCACTGGTAATTAATATCCCTTAATAGAAACAGACTCAACTTACCTATAAAAAGACACGGGCTAACAGATTGGATACATAAACAGAATCCATTCTGCTGCATGCAAGAAACATACCTCAACCTCAAAGACAGACATTGCCTCAGAGTAAAGGGTTGGGAAAAAAATTTCCAGTCAAATGTATCTAAGAAACAAGCTTGTGTAGCTATCCTAATATCTACAAAATAGACTTTAAACTAAAATCAATCAAAAGAAACAAAGAAGGACATTTCATATTGCTCACAGAAAAAAAATCATCAAGAGAAAATCTCAATACAGAACATCTGTGCCCCAAATACAAATACCCTCATATGTAAAAGAAACACTACCAACCCCACATAATAATAGTGGAAGACTTTTAGCACGCCACTCTAAAGACTGGACAGTTATGTCAGACAAACTTAACAGAGAAATAAGGGAACTAACAGATGTTATGACTCAAATTAACTTAATAGACATCTATAAACATTCCATCCAAATATCAAAGAATATACCTTCTCAGCACCTCATGAAACATACTAAAATGATGAGCACACACTAGGTAATAAGCAAACCTCAACAGATACAAAAACATTGGAATAACCCCATGTATCATTGGATCACCATGGCTTAAAGTTAGAATTCAGCAGCAACACTAATTCCAGAAAGCCCACAAACACATGGAAATTAAACAATGCTCACCTGAATCATCAATGGGTCAAGGAAGAAATAAAGGAAGAAATTAAAGACTTCCTAAAATTCACACAGCAGAAAAAATGATATCTTGAAATTTGCAGCCAAATTGATGGATCTAGAAAACATATTGAGTGAGATTATCCAGACCCTGAAAAACAAATATAATATGCACTCACTCATAAGTAGCTTTTAGACATACAGCAAAGAAAAATCAGACTACAATTCACAATCCAAGAGAACCTAGACAACAAAGAGTACCCTAAGTGAGACATATATGTATCCAATCTACATGGGAAGTAGAAAAATACAAGATCTGAGAAGATCTGAGAAGATGGGGATTATGGGAGAGGGTAGATGGGGAGGGGAAAAAAGTTAGAGGAGCAGAGAAAATTATATAGCTCAATAAAAACAATTTAAAAAAGAAAAAAGAAATTCTTACAAGTTCACTGGTTGTTGACATGCAGAGATATTTCTTCTAATGTAAAGGACAAGTCATTACATCTTCCTCCTTCCACCATCAAGATAGAAGCATAATGTTTATGTTTGGTGTGCCTGTTTAGATCTGGAGACTGCACTTTACTCTCTTAGGTGTATTATTTTGGTTCATATATGAAGTGACATAGAAAGCTCCCAGCTTTTTGTGGGGCTGGGAACAAAAGAAGACTCTATAACAGGTACAGGCTGGTGTGCAGGCTTCTATACTTGGACTTGATATACAAATGGTAGGTGAAGTTTCAATGGCAGATAGGGAGGCTCTTAGGAGCCTTTTCTAGTACCCTGTAGTTGTATCAAACAAGAGATCTTTGGACATTAGGGGCAAGGCTTTAAAACCATCTGCAGTTAAGTATTCTCCATTTTAGAGAAAATTATTGGCATATTATTGAACCTCAGTGGAAAATGATCATTTGATATTAGGTCACTGAGTTACATGCAACCTGACCTGCATTCCCATCATGACCTTGGTGTTATCTGTCCCATCATTTCACAAATGTGGACTTTGACAGCAGAAATCTATTATCAAATGGAAGTGATATTTTGTGATTTGCCAAGTAATATCCTGAAGGCACAAGCAAGTTACATTAAGGTTTCTACACCCAATATAATTCCCCTGCTGCCAAGTATTTACCTATAGGGACATGAATGTGAATGAGTGAGTCCTAGAAGGGTTGATGCCTGACAGGGGACAAAATGTCTGGGTATTGCTGTGAGCACAGAGACGGCAGCTGGTCGGGGTTGGGTTAGAAGCTGGTGATGGGAATAGATGCCAGGTGTGGTTGGAGACTTGGATTGAGTTGAAGTCTGGGGAAAGTTGGGGAAGCGTTTGGACAGGGTTGATTGGAGCATTC